CCATATTCAGAAATTAAATTTCAGGAGTGGTGAGATTGCCCAGCGTGTAAAGGTGCTTACCACTGCCCCTGGTGATCTGAGTTCACGCCCTGAGCTCACTTCCGTGGAGGAAAGATGAGCCTCCAAGTTGTCTTCTGGCCTCCACATTGCACCATGGCCTTACCCTGCCACAACATGTTGAAAGAGAGAAATTAAATGATCATGTTTTAATACCCCAGGAATGGAATCTAGACATACATCTTGTTTGTTCTACTTTCAGTCCAAGCACTGGAATTACAGGCAAATCACTGTACCTTGCTTTGATTTAGACAAGTCCTTCAAGGTCCTGAACTTGACACATTTAGAATGGTGGGCACAGCAAGAAGGGAGTCTTTTCTCTTATCCTGGTATGACAGCTGTTTGCCCTAATGTAGGACCTATTTGTGTAGATAAGTTAGTTCACCAGGATTTCTGGAATCAGTGAGGCTGATTAAGGGTTTAACACAGTGGTTCTCAACCTCCCTAATACTGTGACCCTTTAATATAGTTCCTTGTGTTGTAGTAACCCCCATCCTTAATGTTAATATCTGATATGCAAGATATCTAATATTTGATCCCCAAGAGGGTCGTGACCCACATTTTGAAAACCACTGTTTAACAGGTTTATTATCTTGCCCACTACCCCTCATCCCCATCCCCCCCACTCTCTCCCCCCCAAAAAAAAAATCCAGAGCTCGGTTTGTGTGGCCTTGACTCAGTTCTCACTGCTGCTTTCCTGTACTTCTCTTCAGTTCCCTGTCTCCACCAAGGGCACCTCCAGTCCCTAGTTTAGTTCTCTTCATAACTTGTCTGTAGGTCTTTTCCCCCTTTGGATTTGTTTTTCCATATTATTATCAGAGTAATTAAACCAGATCACAATTCTGACCATGCAGTCCTGGTTTAAACCCTTCAGACAGCTTCTGATTTCTCACACACCCTCGCTCCTTTGAGATTCTCTGGCTTATCTCGGCCACTCTTACTGTGTGCTGCCACCCAGCATTAGGTTTTCCACATCTCTGCTTTCGTTGATGTCGTTGCTTCTACTTGAAATACTTTTTATTCCTCTACCCCACCGTCTGTCACTAATTTTGGTTCCTTGGAACGTAACTCAGACCGTGAATGCTTATAGGAAATAATGTTTCAGGGTTTCTATATTATTACTACTATAGAGAGTCACCTAAAGCCATGGAAGTAGACTAGATCAACACACAGTAAGCTTTCAGGTTTTGGGATGTTTTGTTTGTTTGTTTGCTTGGTTTTTGTTTTTTTAGAGACAGGGTCTCTTTGTGTAGCCTCAGCTGTCCTGGAACTCGCTCTGTAGACCAGGCTGGCCTCGAACTCAGAAATACACACCTGCCTCTGCCTCCTGAGTGCTGGGATTAAAGGCATACACCATCACCGCCTGGCATGCTTTTAGTTTTTTTGTTTGTTTGTTTGTTTGTTTTGGTTTTTTGAGACAGGGTTTCTCTGTGTAGCTTTGTGCTTTTATTGAACCACATAATTGAGGTGAAGAGGAAGTCTTTAGGAATGAGAGGTAAAAGGGTATGATTTAAGTATATGTGAAACAACGTCACGCATTTGAATAAAAAGCACAGATGGAGAAACATCATACATAGGGGTAATGGCTTGTTAAAGAATGATCGTATAAATGAGAGAGGACAGTTGGAACCATGCTGTTTAGGGAATACCTTTAATCATTGGAGACAGTAGAAGCCCTCAAGAGTCAACAGATAGATGAAGAAGTTAACTAGAGGGATACTGAGGAAGAGAGGGGTCTAGGGAGGAAACAAGTATGTAAAAGAGATAAAAGTTTTTCTAAGGACAGAGGTACAGCTTCCTGGGTAAAGGCACCTGCCACCAAGCCTAATGACCCGAGGCACCCACATGCCGATAACACACACACACACACACACACACACACACACACACTTTGACAATTAAATTGTATCTAGTTACCTTTGGAAATTGTAGTATAATGGAGCTTTTTAAAAAATCGGCCTATAGGACAAAAATAATTCTCAATTCTTATACTTAAAAATTTATGTGTCAGGGGTTAGGAATTTAGCTCAGTGGTAGAGCGCTTGCCTAGAAAGTGTAAGGCCCTAGGTTTGGTCCTCAACTCCGGAAAAAAAAATTTTTTTATCTGTCACCTATGTTCAGCTAGGATGGATGTCTTCGGGCCAGTGGTAGTTGTTCACTAAGAAGTAGCAAGCAGCCGGGCAGCGGTGGCACAGGCCTTTAATCCCAGCACTCCGGAGGCAGAGCCAGGCGGATCTCTGTGAGTTCGAGGCCAGCCTGGTCTACAGAACGAGCTCCAGGACAGGCAACAAAACTACACAGAGAAACCCTGTCTCAAACAAGCAAACAAAAAAGAAGTAGCAAGCAGCCGGGCGGTGGTGGCGCACTCCTTTAATCCCAGCACACAAGAGGCAGAGGCAAATGGATCTCTTGAGTTCGAGGCCAACCTGGTTTACAGAGTGAGTTCCAGGACAGTCGGGGCTACACAGAAAGAAATCCTGTCTCAAAAAACCAAAACCAAGAAAAAAAATAGTGCTCAAGATATCATAATTACATACTTTTTACTTTGTAAATTTATTTTAGAACTCTTTTGTCACTGCTTTTCCAAATTGCCCTAGTGTGGAACCTTTTCCTTAAACTTTTCCGTGGAAATCAGACGAAATGGATCTTCTCTGAAGTTGTGACAGGCACTGGAAGCCTTTCCTAAGAGTTGTGTGTAATCTTCCAGACCTTCCTTAACGTTTCCTCCTAGACAGGCAGTGGCTGCTGGGCCTTTCTACCGCAGATCCTATGGTCACTTAAAGCATAACTCAAGAACATGGCAGAAAGACAGATAGCGGATCATTTGAATACTGAAAGTGATTGGATACTTAAACCCCAATTTTTTTGACATTTTCGTTCTGTTATTCAGCAAGCAGAATGCCACAACAGGACATCTGCCTGGAAAGGAAAGAGACTGCTCTGCTAGGGCCCCAGTTTAGACGGGCGGGAGTCCTGGTGTGCGGTGGGCTGTGACGTCTGTGTCTGCCCAGCACTGATGAGTCTCCGGCGCTGTGCAGCGCTGTCCTACTCACTGAACAGTCTGCTAGGGGTGAGGGCTCTTTGTTTCTCCCAGTTTATAGTATGCCACACACGACAGGACCGGATTAGGATGATGCAGCCTGCTGTTAAGGAAATGAAAATTGCTCCAGGGTCTAATGAGTACAGTAAAGAAGTCAGCAAAAGCTTTAATGGAGCCATATGAATGTAGAAGGACCTAGCCAAGGCAGGGTAAGGGCTTGTCAGAAAAATAATGATTTTTTGTTAAATGTTAGCTTCTCTTGAGCTAACTCAAACTGAAGTATTTTCTCTCTGTGCAGACAGAGGCACGGAAAAAGGTCTGGCTGTAGAAGACTGTAAGTAGCTTAGTGTAGCTGGAACTTAGCATGCGAATGCTGGGAAGAGCATGGGGGCTGGTAAGAGAAGACCTAAGACAAAGACTGTTGCTGTGCTGAGCATTTGGACTTAGTCCTGAAGGTGACGGGAGGCAATTGGAGGACTTGAAAGTAGAGTGATTGCATGGTCAGATTGATGTTTTAGAAAGCTGACAGTAATCAGAACAGATTAGAATGAAATGGGCCTTTATTTGGAGCAGTCTCAGTAATGGCCTTTTGCAAGAAGTTAAACAAAACTGTCTCAGTCAGAATAGTAGAACTGGATGCTGGCCACTTCAGGCCGGTACCCTTAGCTACCCAAGAGGCTTAGGAAAAAGGATCAAGAGTTCAAGGCCAGCCCTAGAAACATAATGAGTCCCTCTTAAAACATTTAGCCATTTTACTTAACATTATTTCTGAACTTCACAATGATCCTGCAAGGTAACAGTTCTTACCATATCTTATAGCAATATAAACTAAGATTAGAAATTTTAATTTATTTGCTTCAGTCACACCACCAGCAATGACAGCATAGCGTTCAAACTCAGGTCTGTCTCATTGTAAAACTTACAAGGTTCTTTGGTTGTGCCAGATGCCCCTGGTACATAACCTAGATATTGACCAGACCTCAGGTGTGCACCATTTATTAATCAGAAGTGCTTAGATGGGAGCAGCTACTCTGCCTACTGGTTCCAGGAAGCCAGGGAGTGAACAGGGAATGTGATAGAATCCTGTCCTTGTAGAGCTTATATTCTAGTGGAAATAGTGATGCGAACAAAAGATACCACAAAGAGAAGGCTTGGGGAGGTAGCTTTTGCCTGTGAGTTCCATCCTCATCAGGCGGCGTGAGAAGTGATCAGAGTAAAACAAGAAAAAAGTGACTAAGAGGGGCTCAGAGACGGAGTGCTCGCCTGGTGTGTGCAGGGCTGTGGTCTCAGTCCCTTGCCCTGCACACAAGACAGGGAGGCATTTCTGGTCTCTCAAGCAGTGTGTGCTGTCCTGGCCATTGTCAAATATTCTTCAAATCAGGAATACTAGAGTCTTTCTCTTGTCTGCAGTAATAGAACTACAGATGAAAGGGGTAGGATAGACTGTGAGAATGAATGAATAGTGGGACAAGCGACAGGGAAAAGGTACTACTGAGGTTAAGTAAAATCGGTAGATAAGGCCACAGAGAAAGAATGAAGAGTTGGGCCTGTAGCTCAGTTGGCAAAACGTGTGCCAGCATGCACAAAATCTTAGGTTCAATCCTTGGTACCACATGAACTGAGGCACAGTGCTACACACCCGTAATCCCAGCATTTGAAAAGATGGCACAGGCATCAGATGTTGTTGGGGGGCAGTGTGATTGGAGGGGACTTGGTTGTCTTTAAAATGATATTCTGATTAAACTGAATGCCTCTCAAAGGACGTGTACTAATGGCCCCTTTTCCTTTAAGCCGTACCTTCACATGGGACTTTGGGGTTTGGGGTGGGTTTCGTACTAAGATGGTAATCCAAAGTTTATGTAGAAGATGATAACTGTTTGGCACCTCTTTACTGTGTCTGCAGGTTGTAAAAGTTAACATGAACAAACTACGGCAGAGTTTTAGGAGAAAGAAAGATGTGTATGTCCCAGAGGCCAGTCGTCCACATCAGTGGCAGACAGATGAAGAAGGAGTCCGAACTGGAAAGTGTAGCTTCCCAGTTAAGGTAAAATCAAATGTCTGTGATTCTCTGTCGGGGGGTGGGGGTGGGGGTGAGGAATTCTCCATGATAGCTCATAGGATGAGAAATCCCATGAATCAGGGCAATTCAAAGAGTCTTCCGGGGCTGGAGAGATGGCTCAGAGGTTAAGAGCACTGGCTGCTCTTCCAGAGGTCCTGAGTTCAATTCCAAGCAACCACTTGGTGGCTCACAACACCTGTAATGAGAACTGGCGCCCTCTTCTGGCCTGCAGTCATACATGCTGTATACATAATAAATAAATAAATCTTAAAAAAAAAGAAAAGAGTCTTCCAAAAATTAATTTCCATAATCTGCTTCAGTGATGGAAATAAATGAGAAAAATATGTTGCAGTTAGAGATTTTCCTTTTTGTATTTAAATTATTTAAATAAGAATGTCTGGCTGGGTGGTATCCCAGCACTCAGGAGGCAAAGGCAGGTGGATCTCTGAGTTTGAGACCAGCCTGGTCTATAGAATGAGTTCCAGGACAGCCAGTGCTACTCGGAGAAACCTTGTTTCGAAAAACAAAAAAAAGTTTTAATTAATTAATAATAATAATTTCTGCTTCATAATCTGGAATTAGTACAAATAAGAACACATAGGTGTGGGTTGGGAGTACTGGAGTACTGGGAACTGAACCTAGGGTACTGCTGCCTATGCTAGGCAAGTGCTCTGAGCTACATCCCCAGCCCTCTTACTTATTTGAGACAGGGTCCCACTAAATTGTCCAGACTGTCCTTGAGCTTACCCTGTAGCCCTGGGAGGCATCAACTTATGTCCTTCTTCCTCAGCCTCCCAGGTAGGTGAGATTACCTAGAATCGTGCACTATCATGTCTGGCCAGATAAGATCGCTTCTAATGAGAATACAAGTCCTGAAACATCTAAAGATCCTCAAGAATTAAGTTATTTTCAGTGAGCTATGTCTAACAACTAAGGAGACAAGTGGAGTAGGGTTTATTTTCAACACTACCAAAAAAGAACAAAGCAAAAGCACTGTTTTTTTCTCACTCCCAGTGAGAGCTAAATGTTTTTGCTTGCTTCTCCCAGTAATAATGTGATTTCTTTAGCTAATATAATTTTCTACCCAGTCTCAATTTATTCACTTTTTATCATGGTTTAGCCTTGCATTCTTCTCTGTCTGAATTTGTAAACTCTTTTTCACCCAATGTTTGTGATTAGATTACTTTTAATTTCTTTTTCCATTATAATTTCTTGTTCCATGAATACTAGGTGATTTTTCTTGATATTCCATCATAAAAAAAAAATGAAACCACTTTCTCTTATTTTCAAATTTGTATCAGCTGTTTTTATTTCATTTTCTTTACATATTAATAGATCGCTAATATTTACAATCTCTCCTATATATTAATTAAATCTCCTATATTTTTTTTTAAATAATTTATTTAATTTTATGTGCATTTGTGTGAAGGTGTCAGATCTCCTGGAAAGGGAGTTACAGACAGTTAATGAGCTTCCATGTGGGTGCTGGGAATTGAACCCGGGTCCTCTGGAAGAGCAGCCAGTGCTCCTAACCCCTGAGCCATCTCTTCAGCCCCATCTCCTGTATCTTAAGTTTATTCTAAAAATATTTATTACGAGGCATTAAATTTAATGTAAATCTAAGGAATTTACTATAATTTCTTCTCTTTGAAGCCATTGGTTCATTGATATGTTTGACAGATAATTGCTGAATGTCTGCTGCCTGCTACCTGCTGCCTAGAACAGGTCGTGTTTTAGAGACTGGGTGTGCAATGAACAGCACAGACAAAAAAATCCCTGCAGTGTTTTCATGTATGTTAGAGAGCGAACAAACAAAGACTCTCTGATGTACCAGGAAGGAATGGTGTGTGAAGGGAATAAATGAGGAGAGATAGAGTTTAAATATGATGGTTAGGGAAGTCCTCGTTGCAGGGGAAATGTCATTTGAGAAAGTAAGCATTGCAGGTGTCTAAGGAAACGGTTAGACAGGGAGGCAGCAAGTGGAGTGCTCGTTAGCAGGAGAGGCCTGGCGTGCTAAGAGGCAGCAACAGCCATTGTAGACCAGGTAGCCCTGAAAGTGGTAAGTAGGAAGTCAATTGTGTAGTTTAGTACTTTCCAATAATACCCCCTCCCAGCTGCACTCTTTGATATAAACACAATATTCTTTATAAATTCTGAATCAGTTTACACAGTTCCATACTTGCACTTTATTCTGTGTATAAAGAAGAAACAAATGTTGCTAAAATTGTATCTAGCATGTGCAGTCTTCCCATGATTGACATAGCAGTTACATCTGTCAAAAGTCACTGTGTGTATGTGTATTGAAAGACGAATTGGAATCTGATAAAAGATAACTGAGGAAGCTGTTTCTGTGTTACAAGTGTCGGATAGTAAAGTGTCATCTCTTCATTCTTGGGCCCTTGTCTACTAGCTAGAAGTAATTTTCCCAGTTACTGTTACTACAGATGCCCTCATTACAGTCACTGAACACTACTGAAAAGGCCTTTGCCTAGAGCTTCTTGAGGGGAGAGTTGGGGGATCAGAGTCTTGCTGCACAGCTCAGGCTAACCTCAATACATGATTCTCCTGCCTCACTCTCTCTCGAGTGCTTTATTACCAGCATGCCCAACTCCATTTTAAGGATTTTGACTTTTACTTAGATAAATTAGGAAGCCATTAAAGATTGTTGAGCAGAGAAATCTCATCATGGGACTGCTGCTCTTGAAGGCTCACTCTGGGTCCGTTGCTTACAGTTGGCTATAGAACTACAAGATTAAAAGCAGAGTGCAGTTCCGAGGCCACTGCAGAAGTCCTTGTGAAATAGACGCTGGTTGTGTTAGGGTGATAACTGTCCTCTTTCTTCAGTTCCAGTTTCTGGAGAATATTTTTAAGACCATCACCTTAACCACTCAGCTACGATTATAAAACGTGTATATATATTTTATAGGGAAAGCTGATAGCATATATGGATGGATTAGATTTGTGATGTATCACAAAGAGGAAAAAGAAAGGATGGTTCAAGAAACTTATTTGGAGGCAGCGTCTCAGCTGGCCTTGAATTTACTGTAGCTGAGGATGACCTCCAGCTCCCAATCTTCCTGTCTCTACCCCGGAAGTGCTGGAATTACAGGTGTGCAACCCACACCGTCAAGATGGCTAATCTGAGTGGTTAAAAGGTAAGCTTAGACATAATGGAGTACTACTCAGCAGAGAAAAACAGTGAAAGCATGAA